GTCGGGGGACCAAGCTGCAGGAATTTGGGCTCTGAGGCTGTGAAACTTTTGCGGAATTCAGCATGGAGGCAGAATATGGATCACAAGGTTCACTGTGGAAGGGGCAGGAGAAAGTCCCTTCTGCAGTGTTGTAATTCATGTTGCTTTTGGGGCAGGGAACAGTTGGTAAAATCTGGTGATCTCAAGGTCATCGCCCCCTTCGCTGCTTGTAGGCAAACTTGCAGGTCAGCAATTTATGGGGAAGACAGATGTCTGCAGATGTGTGTATGGAAGGCAATGGGCTGGAAGGAGGGCTGCCCAGATACCCATGAGCTTGGAAAGGAAGTACTAGGTAGGTCCTTTTGGATCCGCCGTGGGTCACCTTCACTCTCTGCCCCCTAATGTATTGACATTAATGTGGATGGAGACCACAGTTGTCCCATTTTGGCCAAGAATGGCATGAGCTTTCTCTTTTTTTTTTTTTTTTTTTTTTTTTTTTTAAGATTTTATTTATTTATCTGACAGACAGAGATCACAAGTAGGCAGAGAGGCAGGCAGAGAGAGAGGGGGAAGCAGGCTCCCCGCCAAGCAGAGAGCCCGATGTGGAACTCGATCCCAGGACCCTAGGATCATGACCCCAGCCGGAGGCAGAGGCTTTAACCCACTGAGCCACCCAGGCGCCCTGAGCTTTGTCATTTTAATGACTTGGTTTCCCGTGATGTCAACCCCTAAAGGTTTTCTTCTCCACCTGCCCCACCCCATGCTCCACAAATCTTTATTGACCCTCCTTGTTCATCCTAAAGAACAGAAGCGTTCTAATATATGTAAGCTTTCACCTGAAGGAAGGACTCTTTTTTTTTTTTAAGATTTTATTTATTTATTTGAGAGAAAGCAAGAATGAGAGAGAGAGAGAGAGAGAGCATGAGAAGGGGGGGAGGGTCGAGAAGCAGACTCCCTGCTGAGCAGGGAGTCCGATGTCAGACTCAATCTGAGCCAAAGGCAGACAGTTAACCAACTGAGCCAACCAGGTGCCCTATCCTGAAGGAGGACTTACTAAAATACCCTTTTTATTTTGGAATTATATTAGATTTACAGAAAAGTTGCAAAGATACTGCAGAGAATTCTTTTAGAACCCGCATCCAGATTCCCCCAATGCTAACATCTTACAGACAATGGTATATTTGTCAAAACTAAGAGTTTGGGGCTCCTGGGTGGCTCAGTCATTTAAGCTTCTGTCTTCAGCTCAGGTCATGATCCCAGAGTCCTGGGATCAAGCCCCGAGTTGGGCTCCCTGATCAGCAGGGAGTCTGCTTCTCCACTCCTTCAACCCCTCTCCCTGCTTGTGCTCTCTCTAATAAATAAGTCTTTTTTTTTTTAATTAAAGATTTTATTTATTTATTTGACAAACAGAGATCACAAGTAGGCAGAGAGAGAGGAGGAAGTAGGCTCCCTGCTGAGCAGAGAGCCTGATGTGGGGCTCCATCCCAGGAGCCTGAGATCATGACCTGAGCCGAAGGCAGCGGCTTAACCCACTGAGCCACCCAGGGCCCCTCTAATAAATAAGTCTTAAACAAAACAAAGCATAAAGCTAGGAGTTTAATGTTGGTCCATTACTGTTAACTCTAGACTTCATTTGGATTTCACCAGCTTTTCCCTTTCCTCTTTCGGGACCCAGTCCAGAAATCCATGTTGCATTTGGCCCTGAAGTCTTTCATCATTGTCTTAACCAGTTGCTTTCCAAACTCTTTCAGTCACATACCTCCACTGGTTTAAAACAAAAAACAGGGGCGCCTGGGTGGCTCAGTGGGTTAAAGCCTCTGCCTTCAGCTCAGGTCATGATCCCAGGGTCCTGGGATCGAGCCCCGCATCAGCCTCTCTGCTCGGCGGGGAGCCTGCTTCCTCCTCTCTCTCTGCCTGCTTCTCTGCCTACTTGTGATCTCTGTCAAATAAATAAATAAAATCTTAAAAAAAAATAAAATAAAACAAAAAACAAAACAAAAAAAAACCCGCTATGTTCTCCCCAATATAATTATTCATGTAGACTACTGCTACTGTATTAGGTACATCGTAAAATAAATTCCACAGAAAAGCAAGATGTTGAACAAGATGAGCTAAAAATACTTAACACTTTAGGGGCACCTGGGTGGCTCAGTTGGTTAAAGCCTCTGCCTTTGGCTCAGGTCATGATCTCAGGGCCCTGGGATCCAGCCCTGCATTGGGCTCTCTGCTCAGCGGGGAGCCCGCTTCCTCCTCTCTCTCTGCCTGCCTCTCTGCCTACTTGTGATCTCTGTCTGTCAAATACATAAATAGAATCTATTAAAAAAAGTTTATAAATATTTAAAAAATATATATTTTTCGTGATAGCTTCCTAGGATTTTAAATCCTAGGACAGAGAAGTTAGGGCAGGGAAGGCCGGGGTTTTTTTTTGTTTTTGTTTTTAAGATTTGTTTCCTTGAGAGAGAGAGAGCGTGAGCACATGAGCACCTGGGCAGGGCTGAGGGCAGAGGGAGGGAGAATCTCAAACACACGCTGACCATAGAGCCCAATCCAGGGCTCGATCTCACATTTTTTAGGATATTTTTTATTTATTTGACAGACAGAGCTCACAAGTAGGCAGAGAGGCAGGCAGAGAGAGAACAGGAAGCAGGCTTCCCGCTGAGCAGAGAGCCCGATGCAGGGCTCGATCCCAGGCCCCCGGGACCACGACCTGAGCTGAAGGCAGAGGCTTAACCGCTGAGCCACGCAGGCGCCCCTTAAAGATTCTATTTTTTTTTTTTAAGATTTTATTTATTTATTTGTCAGAGAGAGAGAGAGATCACAAGTAGGCTGAGAGGCAGGCAGAGGCAGAGGGAGAAGCAGGTTCCCTGCCGAGCAAGGAGCCCGATGTGGGACTCAATCCCAGGACGCTGGGATCATGACCTGAGCCGAAGGCAGCCGCTTAACCAACTGAGCCACCCAGGCGTCCCAAAGATTCTATTTTTAAGTAATCTCTATACCCAAATGGGGCTCAAACTCAAACCCAAGATCAAGAGTCACATGCTCTACCCACTGAGCCAGTCAGGCGCCTGTATGCTTTCCTGTTCTTTTTGTCTGGAAGATTTTCCCAGCTGTGGAATAAATTTCTGGAGATGTGATTTCTTCTTCACGTTATCATGTATTCATTAAGTACCTTTGTGCAGGCCGCCTGGGTTTCTCGGTTGGGCGGCTGCCTTTGGCTGAGGTCATGGTCTGGGGTCCTGGGATTGAGCCCCGCATTGGGCTTTCTGCTGGGTGGGGAGCCTGCTTCCTCCTCTCTCTCTGCCTGCCTGTGATCTCTGTCCAATACATAAATAAAAATCTTAAAAACAAAAAGAATGGAACTTATAATAATTGGAACTTATAATAATATATAATAACGTACATAATTGAACTTATAATAATCGGGGCACCTGGGTGGCTTAGTTAAGCGTCTGCCTTCGGCTCAGGTCATGATCCCAGGGTCCTAGATTGCCCTACATCGGGCTCTCCGCTTGGCGGGGAGCCTGCTTCTCCCTCTCCCACTCCCCCTGCTTGTGTTCCCTCTCTCACTGTGTCTCTCTCACTGTCAAATAAATAAAATCTTAAAAAAAAAAGAAAATTGTAGCCATCAGTCAAAACTTAACATACCTGTATTTGCCTACAGAACATCTGACAATAGGAAAATCCTGCTTCTTCTGTTTTTTATTTTGGTCCTGTTTGCTTATTTATTCATAAACCATGATGAGAAAAACCAGATCATAATTTTTATTGGCCACATTGTTTTATTTTACATTGGGCATCAAAGTTTATACTTAGAGATTAAAAGCTTTTTATTACCAGGTATCACTAATAACAAAAGTTTGCTTTATTCCCGTGCACATAGAACTGTGCATTCTGAATCAAAGTATAATATTTAAGACAAAATGCAGTCAATATTACTATGCTCTCTTTTCCAAAATGCAAAAATCAACGGGTTTTAGGAAATTACCCTCAAGTTTACTTGTCCTCATTTTTACCTAAAAATCTGAGTCTTTGGGGCACCTGGGTGGCTCAGTGGGTTAAAGCCTTTGCCTTCTGCTCGGGTCATGGTCTCAGGGTCCTGGGATTGAGCCCTACATCAGGTTCTCTGCTTGGCAGGGAGCCTGCTTCCTCCTCTCTCTCTGCCTACCTCTCTGACTACTTGTAATCTCTATCAAATAAATAAATAAAAATCTTAAAAAAAAAAAATCTGAGTCTTTATGGATGACTGGGTGGCTCAGTCAGTTAAGCTTCTGCCTTCAGCTCCTCAGGTCATGATGCCAGGGGCTTGGGTTCGAGTCCCACCTTGGGCTCCCTGCTCAGTGGAAAGCCTGCTTCTCCCTCTGCCTGCCACTCCCCCTGCTTGTGCTCTCTCTCTGTCAAATAAATAAAATCCTTAAAAAAAAAAAATCTGAGTCTTTGCTTTCCTAGAAAAAGTTGCTCTTATTATGTCTTTTGCTACTGTCTCTGTTCCATTTCTTTTGATCTGACCTTCCATTTTATGATTATTTTTGCTCCAGCATCTGTTCTCTGACCTCTGTATTCATAATTTCTCATAATTTTTATCTCTTTATATTTCCTCCCTGCCTATTGGAGTTGACCCCTCATTTTTCCTTCTGCTGAATGATTTCACACTCTCAATTTTCCTCATTACTGTTGCCAGTACAGGTTTGTAATATGTTAAATCATTTAAATCATTTTCATTTTTCATGGGCAGGGATGTTAGATGATCTTGTTTCCTACCTCAGTGAGTTCATACACTGGACTCAACAACCGTTATGTCAAGTTTCACACACCGTGGGCAAGTCACTCTTCTAGATCTGTTCTTTGCATCCTCCGCTGCACTTGTGGTTCATGAGATGTGTTGTGTGTGTTTTATTTCCTGGGAAGGATCAGATTCTATTTCTGGTTCATTCTGCAGCTGGCAGGAAATAGAAACACACAGGTGGTGTTGTCAGTTTCCGATTCTGGCGCTGAATGGTCCTTCCTCTTCCCTTCTCTCTCAGTGGAAGACAGATGTGGCAGAAACGAGTTCCAGTGCCAAGATGGGAAGTGCATCTCCTACAAGTGGGTTTGTGACGGGAGCGCCGAATGCCCAGATGCCTCAGATGAGTCCCAGGAGACCTGCAGTGAGTCCCCTTTGGGCGTGACACACTTCCTGCCCTTTTTGATGAGAGTGGGTGACAGACAGGTGAACAGCAGCCAGCAGGCTGATGTGTTCAGCCGTGAATTGGGACTTGGGGGAAGCAATATTTCTGGAACTTTGCAAGCTCAAAAAAAAAAAATGAGGTGAAATTCACATAACGTAAAATTAACCATTTTAAAGGAACCAGTTCAGTGATATTTATATGGTCATGGTACTGTACAGCCATCACCTCTCTCTCCTTCTAAGGTTTCCATCCCTTTATGTCTGATTTTTTGGGAGGGGGCCCAGAAAGTTGGGCTTGGCACCCTGTTTCTGAAAACTGTTTTTTGTTCTGCGAAGCGGGGTCTGGAGTGACCGATTGGGGGAGGAAAGTCTCAGTCCCGTTTCTCCCACAGTGTCTGTCACCTGTAAGTCGGGGGACTTCAGCTGCGGAGGCCGTGTCAACCGCTGCATCCCTCAGTTCTGGAGATGTGACGGCCAGGTGGACTGCGAGAATGGCTCGGACGAGCAAGGCTGTTGTAAGTTGTTCCCTTCCCCCACAGCCGTGCACTGGCCCCACTGGGTCCCTGCCGTCCCGGTCCCCGGGCTGCAGTTACAGTTGCTGTCCAGGCCGTCCTGCCCCAGCTGAGCTCCGGATTGGCTCTTCAGTCCTTCTTCTAGAAGCTTCCACCAAGCCCCCTTGTGCATTTGAACCCTACTTTGCCCACACAACAATGCAGGGCATAGGGTTGGTGCCACCTATTAGGGTGGTCAGCATACTCAGGCTGTCCCTGCCAAGTGTCCCCTGACCCCAACCGTGTGGCCCGTCACTGGTGAACCACTGTGACCACCACCAGCCACCCTGGGCGGCTGAGCACACAGTAGGTGTCATCGGCTGAGACCATATCGCTCAGCTGACCACCAGGAAGAGGAAAGCTTCACTGGGTTGTGGCTTCTGGGGAGAAACAGGGCCAAGAGTCCCGGAGGAGGAGGCACGTTGGAGAGCGGAGTGTCTGTCTTGGCTCTGCAGTGTTAGTTAGTTAGTTACTGAGTTGTAGAGTTTTGTTTTGTTTTGTTTTTTAATGGAGTAGGGCTCTGAGAAAAATAAGCGGGAAAAATTTAAATAAGATAATGTCAGATCTTCAAGTTCAGAAAATTTAAAAATCCATAAAAATAATAATTAAAAAAGCAACATGCGTGTGTTCACATACATTCACTTGAGAAATGTGTGTCTCACTGGGCTTAATGGTCGCCTAACGAAACACCTCCTCGGGGAACATTTAGAAATAGAATGGAGTGTTGTTCTTTTCCCACGTACCTTGTTTTGCCTTCCAGCTTTATTGTGATATAATTGACATACAACATTATGTAAGTTTAAAGAGTAGATTGGGGGGGAGAATTAATTTAAAAAAATAAAATTTTTTTAAAATTTTATTTATTTATTTGACAGAGAGCACAAGCAGGTAGAGTAGCAGGTAGAGGGAGAAGCAGGCTCTCCACCGAGCAGGGAGCCCAATGCAGGGCTCGATCCCACGACCCTGGGATCAGGACCCCAGCTGAAGGCAGTTGCCCAACAAACTGAGCCACCCAGGCACCCCTAAAAAAAGAAATTTTTTTTTTAAGTTGCCAGTTTCTTTTTTTTCCACACCCTAAAGATTTTACTTACTTATTTGAGAGAGTGAGTGGGAGGGAGAGGGACAGAGAACCCAAATCCAACTCTGTGCTGAGCGTGGAGCCTGGTGTGGGGCTGAGATCGTGGTAAGATCAGGACCTGAGCTGAAATCAGCAGTTGGACACACAACTGTTCAACCAACCAAGTCACCCAGATGCCCCCAACCACCACTTTTTAAAAAATCCTTTTGGGGGTGCCTGGGTGGCTCATGGGTTAAGCCTCTGCGTTTGGCTCAGATTGTGATCTCGGAGTCCTGGGAACTGGCCCTGCATCTGGCTCTCCGCTCGGCGGGGAGCCTGCTTCCCCCTCCCCCACTTTCTGCCTGCCTCTCTCCCTACTTGTGATCTCTGTCAAATACATAAATAAAATCTTTTAAAAAAAATTCTTTTGGATGGGGGGAGCACCTGGGTAGCTCAGTCTCTTGGTTTCATCTCGGGTCATGATCTCAGGATCAAGCAGGCTCTGTGCTGGCCGTGGAGTTTGCTTAAGATTCTCTCTCTCCCTCTTCCTCTGCTTCTCCCACCCGCTTTGTGTGTACTCTCTCTCTCTCAAAAAAAAAAAAAAAAAAAAAAAGGAGTAGGTGATGATTGGATACACATACATATTACAAAATGAGCACCACTGCAGTGGTGGCCAGCACCTCCTTCATGTCCCACAATCACCACATTTTGGCAGGTGTTTCTTTTAATAATAACAGCAAACTTTTTTTTTTTTAGATTTTTTTATTTGTTTGTCAGAGAGAGCAAGAGCTTGAGCACAAGCAGAGAGAGCCGCAGGCAGAGGGAGAAGCAGGCTCCCCACTTAGCAATGCGGGGCTCGATCCCAGGACTCTGGGATGGTGACCTGAGCTGCAGGCAGACGCTTAACAACTGAGCCACCCGGGTGTCCCAACAGCAGACTCTTAAATAATGCTTCCCTTGGGCCTGGCCCAGGTACAAATGGGGCAACTGAGGCACAGAGGGGCCCCAGGAGTGGGCTGGGGAGGCTGACCTTGCAGGGGTTTCCTATCCGGGGGCCTCTGCAGGGTCTCCGACTGAGGTCTGGGCTTTCCTGGACTCAGTGTCCTCATCTATAAAATGTCTGTTCATGAGAAGAGGGGACTCTCTGGTGACCGGGTTGTCCTTTCCCACCCACCCCTGCAGTACCCAAGACGTGCTCCCAGAACGAGTTCCGCTGCCAGGATGGGAAGTGCATCGCCCTGGACTTTGTCTGTGACTCGGACCGGGACTGTTTGGACGGGTCTGACGAGGCGTCCTGCCCTGTGCCCACCTGTGGCCCTGCCAACTTCCAGTGCAACAACTCAGCCTGCATCCCCGAGCTGTGGGCTTGTGATGGTGACCCCGACTGCAAGGACGGCTCAGATGAGTGGCCGCAGCACTGCGAGGGCCGCAAGCTGTCAGTCCCCCAATACGACAACGGCCCGTGCTCCACCCTTGAGTTTCACTGCCAGAGCGGCGAATGTATCCACTCCAGCTGGCGCTGTGACGGGGGCCCCGACTGCAAGGACAAGTCCGACGAGGAGAACTGCAGTAAGGGCACTGCGCGGGAGGTCCTCTCCCCTGGCCCTGTGCTCCCCCTGGGGTGGGATGGGTCGGCCTTTCTGTGCTTAGACAATGCCAAGTCCCGCCGCAGGAATTTCAGTCTTCTGTGTTTCTGCCCGTGTTCCCAATCACAGGGAGGAGCAAGCCTCCATAAACAGAGACCCTGTCTTTAACTCCAAATAGTGTGGATTTCACCACCCCCCTTTTTTTTTAAGATTTTATTTGTTTATTTGACAGAGAGATCATAAGTAGGCAAAGAGGCAGCGAGAGAGGAGGAAGCAGGCTCCCTGCTGAGCAGAGAGCCCCGACTTGGGGCTTGATCCCAGGACCCTGGGATCACGACCTGAGCTGAAGTCAGAGGCTTTCACCCACTGAGCCACCCAAGCGCCCCGAGTTCACCCTTTTTTTGACCAGGGGAGCAAGTCACAGCTGCAATACTATCTTCGTCCAGACAGGATCCTGGGCTCCAGGCCTGGTGGGTGACCTCTGGCCAAGGACTACGCCTCCCTGCACTGTGTTCTCTTTCCCCATGGAATGGGGCAAGAGCTTTGGCCTTGGCAGGCTTTTTTGACTGGAGTCCGCACCATGCCACTGAACTTTCTGGGGGCGGTGGAGACCTCCCACGTCGGCATCGCCCAGTGCGGGAGCTCGTGCAAGCGAAGAAGGGAATATTTTGTTTTGGTTCACTTCTGTGAATTGAAAGTTAAGTAGCCGCATGTGGTGAGCGGCTCCCATGTTGGGGGCCGTGAAGATAAAGGATTGTGCTACCCAGACCCTGGCCCCGAGTCCGTCATTCCTGAAGGGGCACCGTTACTTCCAAGCCAGCGGCGGAGCTCCTGTGAACCTAGAACGTGTTTTCATGTCCCAGTTTCTTTGGTACCTTTGCCCCTGTGCACTGTTTTCATAGAATTGTAATCTCGGTGTAGATGGTATTAGACTTTTTAAGAATCACTTTAAAAAAAAAAAAAAAAAAAAATTTTTTTTTTTTTTTTAAGTTTATGGCGTTTTTTTGTTTGTTTTTTTTGTTTTGTTTTCTTTTGCTTTTAGTAATCCCTGCACCCCACCTGGGGCTCAAACTCACAACCCAGAGATCAAGAGTTGCACACTCTTCCAACAGAGCCTGCCAGGCACCCCTAAAAGTCACATTTTATTTATTTATTTATTTTTAAAGATTTTATTTATTTATTTGACAGACAGAGATCTCAAGTAGGCAGAGAGGCAGGCAGAGAGAGGAGGAAGCAGGCTCCCTGATGAGCAGAGAGCCCAATGTGGGGCTCGATCCCAGGACCCTGAGATCATGTCCTGAGCTGAAGGCAGAGGCTTTAACCCACTGAGCCACCCAGGCACCCCTAAAAGTCACATTTTAAAATAATGGATGACTGTATACAGTGTGCACTAAAACTCAACACAAACTCCCTTAATCCTCATTATGTGAGCAGGCTTTCCCCACTCTTTACAGATGGGGAAACTGAGGCCTAGGAGGGGTGACTAATCGGAGGACACACACCTGTGAAAATAAAAAATTTGTCTTTTGTCCTCGGTGTCCTCTCCTGCACATTTGTCCTGCTTCACAGTGTTAGACTGTGCTGTACGCAGTGGCACTGACCGAATTTGTCGCTATCCGGTCTGCCTCTAACTGGGGAACGCGCCGTTGCTTTTCTGCTGAGAGTGGCCTGTCGGCCCTGCCAGGTGTTTACAAATCATGTGTTCTTGGGGAGCCTGACTGGCTCTGTCAGTAGAGCATGTGACTCTTGATCTCAAGGTTGTAAGTTCAAGCCCCATACTGGGTGTAGAGATGACTGAAAATCTTTAAAAAAATTATTTTTGTGTTCTCAGAAATGTAGATGTGAAAAGATTGGAGGAAACTCCAGGAAAACTCAGTGGTGCTGTTAGGGTGCTCCCCCCACTTTCTTATTTTTCAAACTTTGCTCTGTGGCTTTAGTTATGATTGTCTGGGATTCTTCTTCTTTGAGGAAAAGAGTACCTACTGCCATAAAAGAAAATCTAAAACTACATAGATTAGGGGTGGTTGGGTGGCTCGGTCCGACTCTTGATTTCAGCTCAGGTCATGATCTCAGAGTTGGGAGATTGACCCCTGCGTCAGGCTCCGTGCTATGCATGGAACCTACTTAAGATTCTCTCTCTCTCCCTCTGCCCTTCCCCCACCTTAAAAAAAGAAAGAAAGAAATTAGACTACATTGGTTAAAATTTAGAATGTGAAGACAGGTGTTCCCTGAAGACTTTTTCTTCGGATGGGAAGCAGATAAAATGGATAAGCCACTGTCTCCTGCCCATGGAAGTGGTGGGACTTGTTTTTTCCCCACATCTGAAATCTTTCTTGTTATCTGCTTTCCCTGGTGCCCGAGGCAGGCAGGACATTGTTGCTTCAAAGCTGGTAGGTTGTTTGTTTTTTCCCCCCCGCTGCTCCTTGAGAGAAACCAGCATGTGCCCTGTCTTTCCTAGCTGTGGCCACATGCCGGCCTGATGAGTTCCAGTGCTCAGACGGGACCTGTATCCATGGCAGCCGGCAGTGTGACCGGGAATATGACTGTAAGGACTCGAGCGACGAGCTTGGATGCATCAACGGTAAGCTCCTCTCGGGGCAGCCCCGTGCCCGCTGTGTGTCCTCGGGCCAGTTACTTGACCTCCCTGAACCTCACTTCCATTTATCTGACCAATGAGCATCACGAAAGCATCTGTTTCAGGACTGTGAGATTCTAATGAGGCCAAAGTATACAGGGCTTCTGTCTTTGAACTCAGCAGGTAAAGCACTGTCCTGTGCTCATGGTGTGACATTTCCACTCCTGGGAGTGACCCTGGGAGAAACTCGCACCTGTAACCAGGAGGCGGGCTTCGGAGTTTAGGGAGCAGCACCGGCCTAACGGCGGGACACTAGGAGCAACCCTGTTATTTATCAGCAGAATTCACTTAAAAATTGTTTTAATTGTGGTAAAATCATGGAACATAAGGAGAATAATTTTATTTTTTTATTATTTGTTCTTTTAACAATTTTTTTTAAAGATTTTATTTATTTATTTGAGACAGAGAGAGAGAGAGAGAGAGAGAGAGAGAGCATGAGCAGGGGGAGAGGGAGAGGGAGAAGCAGACTCGCCGCTGAGCCAGGAGCCTGCTGTGGGGCTGGATCCCTGGATATTGGCATCATGACCTGAGCAGAAGGCAGACGCTTAACCATCTGAGCCACCTAGGCGCCCCTTATTTATGATTCTTAAAGTTTTTATTTTCCTTTATTTATTTATTTTTTTAAAGATTTTACTTATTTATTTGACAGAGACACAACGAGAGAGGGAACACAAGCAGGGGGAGTGGGAGACGGAGAAGCAGGTTCCCTGCTGAGCTGGGAGGCTGAGGCGGGGCTGGATCTTAGGATCCTGGGATCATGATCTGAGCTGAAGGCAGATGCCTAATGACTGAGCCACCCAGGCGCCCTTATTTATTTATTTTTTGAGATTTTATTTATATGAGAGAGCGTGGGGTGGGGGTCAGAGGGAGAAGCAGACTCCCTGCAGAGCAGGGAGCTCGATGCAGGACTCAATCCTGGGACCCCAGGATCATGACCTGAGCCGAAGGCAGTCACTTAACCAAATGAGCCACCGAGGTGCCCGTTTATTTATTTTTAGAGACAGAGTGTATGAGGGCGGGGAGGGAGAGGGAGATAAGAGAAATCTTAAGCAGGCTTCACGCCCAGTGCAGAGCCCAAGGCGGGACTCGATCTCACAATCCTGAGATCTTGATCTGACTGAAATCCAGTTGGACGTTTAACCAACTGAGCCACCCAGGTGCCCCCCCCCAAACAAACTTTTGTGAACAAGAAGTTAAATTCTGATAATGTAATTTTTGACAATCGTGGTAAACAACATCTAACAGAAAAAACTTACCACCTTTACCATTCTTCAGTGTTTATTTCCATGACAGTAAGTACACTGTTACATCTTAATTATGAACACATTTACATATCATCTCGTGTACATGAACGTCTCGGAAGTACCTGACCGTCCTCTTTGGCTCTTAGTGACACTGTGCGAGGGGCCCAGCAAGTTCAAGTGCCACAGCGGCGAATGCATCACGCTGGACAAAGTGTGCAACTCGGTCAGGGACTGTCGGGACTGGTCGGACGAGCCCCTCAGGGAGTGTGGTGAGCACCCCCCACCCCCCGGGTGCAGACAGCTCTCTGGGTCTTATGGGGAGCTGGGGCTGGGACCCAGACGTGGCTATGCTGTGGGGCTGCAAGTCTCCTGCCCACCCCTGCCTGTGAGTGCTTTAGCTCTGCAGCAACACAGACATGGGGTCCTGGGGGAGAAACCTCAGTGTTCACATCTGTAGGATGGGACAGTAAGGGCCCAACATCCTAGGGCTGCTGTGGGTTGGCTGTTGCGATGCTTGTCAAGTTTCAGCAGTGCACCGTAACCTGTGGCCATGTAAATATTGAGGACTTGACCAGCTGTACGGTCTGTCGCAGCAGTTCAGCAGGAGCTGAGTTGCAGGCGGAAGACGGCGTACAAATGCACATGCGCACATGAACGCCTGTGGCTGCGCTCCAAGCAAACCTTATCACGGACACTGAAGTCTGAACCGTCCATGGGGCACAAAATACTGTTTTACTTTTGATCCTTATTTTTCTTTTCAACTGTTTAAAAACAATAAAAAGCATTCTTAGCTTTGGGGCCATGCAGGAACAGATTGGTAGGCTGGCATGGGCCGAAGCCCTGTAAAGAGAGCCAGGGCATGGGTGCCAGCGCCGAGCGCCCCGGGCCTGGTCCAGCACTGTGATCTGGGGCAGGTCTTGGAGTCTGGCCAGGCCTCGGTTTCCACAGTTATAGTTCAGCTACCTGTATCGTTTTGGGGAGTTAGTACATGCAACTGTGGAACATGGTTTTTTAGTTTTTTATAATCAAGAATATTTTGAAATATGTTATCAAAAAAAAAGTAGGATTTACCATCTTAACCATTTTTTTAAAAATTATTTATTTATTTATTTGACACAGAGAGAGAGAGAGAGAGATCACAAGTAGGCAGAGAAGCAGGCAGAGGTGGGTGGGGAACAGGCTCCCTGCGGAGCAGAGAGCCTGATGCGGGGCTCGATCCCAGGACCCTGAGATCATGACCTGAGCCGAAAGAAGAGACTTAACCCACTGAGCCACTGAAGCGCCCCCATCTTAACCATTTTTAAGCGTCCAGTTCAGTGACATTAAGCAGACTCACATGATCATGCAGCCATCCCCACCATCCGTCTCCAGAACTTTCTCATCTTCCCACACTGAACCTCTGCCCCAGGAAGCGCTGACTCCCCATCCCCTCCCCTACCCAGGCCAGCCGCCCATCTACTTCCTGTCTCTGATTTTGACTCCACTGGGAATGTGCTAGGAGTGAATCCTGCAGTGTTTGTCCTTCTCTACCCATAGCGTTCACTCAGTGGAATATCCTCCGGGTTCCCTCCTGGCGCTGCAAATGATGGGGATTGTGCTAAGTCCTCCTAGGGGACATGGCAGTTTCCTGGTCCCCCAGTCATAGTAGCAATCATTATAAGGGTGAGGAGATGGTACAGGGGTGCCGACGAGCTGAGTGTGACCAGTCTCTGCTTTCGTCCCCCTCCCCCCACCTGGCACAGGGACCAACGAGTGTCTGGACAACAAGGGCGGTTGTTCCCACATCTGCAATGACCTCAAGGTGGGCTACGAGTGCTTGTGTCCTGAGGGTTTCCGGCTGGTGGACCAGCGAAGATGCGAAGGTGATTCCCCAGCAGGGTGGGCTCCTGGCCTCTCCGTCCCTTTCTCCTCATGGGGTGGCCAGACCCCCAGTGCCTGTTTCCCCACCTGTTCAGTGGGCATGACAGCAGTGCTGACCTCGTGGGCCTGTTAGGAGGATTTAATGAAATGCCAGATGCCCAGAACATCCCTGCAGGCTTGGCCCTGGAGGGGCACGGGGTTCTTGCCTTTGGGGATGAATAATTAAGAAAGTAATCTCTGTTGACGGCTGATGCAGCTTCTCCCTGGGGGCTGCTCCCCTGGGGTGAACGGTGAGGTCAAGGTCATTGTTGGAGACAAAGCTTGGCTGTTTCTGAGTTTTTATTTCTGAACCTGCTGGTCACCAAGACCATGGCTCTAGGGGTCGTCCCCAAAGGGCCTGGGCTGTCCCCATTTGCCATCGGGAGGCATGGCTCCATTACTCCATCAGCACCCCATGGGGAGGAAGCCCCAAATGCCTTCGTGTGTCCTGACTTGCAGATATCGACGAGTGTCAGGACCCCGATGTGTGCAGCCAGCTGTGCGTGAACCTCGAGGGCAGCTACAAGTGCGACTGTGAGAAGGGCTTCCAGCTGGACCCGCACACCAAGGCCTGCAAGGCTGTGGGTGAGTGTGGGGCGGGGCCTGCGGGGGCCTGTGCCAAGAGCTGATGCCCTGGGGAGTTTCATCACAGGAACTTTGCACCAACTCCAAAGCCCGCTGGGTGAGGGCTGGGGCCAACTGTGTCCTCCCAAGACCTCTGGCAGCTGGTTGAGCAGCGCTGTCGGGAACTTGCCAGGAGCATGCCTCGGCGTGTCCTGCTTTCCTGTGGACACAGGTCAATGGCAGGAGATCTAGTTTGCAGCCCCCAGCCTCCCGCATGGCTTCAGAGGACAGGAAAAGCCGAGGCCTGAAGGACCCATCCCCCCACCAGCTGTTCTTACTCACTTAGAGGAACCTGTACCCAAAAAGCAAATTGACTTCAGAGAGCCCAAGGTATAATCAGTCACTCCGGAGGAAACCAAACGCAGGAATAGTTGGGTTTCTTTTCTTTTTCCTTTTTTTTTTTTTTAAAGATCTTACTTATTTATTTATTGGACAGAGAGAGAGATCACAAGTAGGCAGAGAGGCAGGCAGAGAGAGAGGGAGAAGCAGGCTCCCCGCTGAGCAGAGACCGCCCTCCCCCCCCATGCAGGGCTCCCGATGCAGGGCTCGATCCCAGGACCCTGAGATCATGACCTAGCTGAAGGCAGAGGCTTAAGCCACTGAGCCACCCAGGTGCCCCAGGTTTCTTTTCTACCTAAAGTTGAGATGAGCACTGTGACCAGGCACTGATTCTCAGAAACCCCAAGGTGAAAAGAGCCCATGTGTTTGGAGGCACAGCCGTCCTCGGGGAGTTGACCTGTGGATAAACTCCCTTTGCTTTGCGTCCTGTTCCGCCCTCCAATGTGACTCCAAGGAGGGACGAGTTTGCAGAAATATTTTAGATTGCCTTCCGTTTCCTCAAGGGTCTGCTTGAGCTTTGAAGACTTCCTCCCCGTTGTCGTCCCTTTTGTCATGGTTCCATGGCCGCACTCTGTCACACCGCCATGTGTTTCCTGGTTCTGGGGAAAACCAGGGACTGAGTTCACGAACCCCCCAGGGTTTGAGGTTTCACTTTTGCTCTGATCTGTGTGGGCCGGTGTCTACACAGACGCCTTCCCAGGAGTATGAGCGGTATCATGGGAAGGGCTGTTCTGAGTGAGGTCAGTTGTACACACCGTTAGCCTGTCGGTGAATATTGGTGTCATAGTTACAACAGAGCCCCCCAGAGTCCGGGCAGCCTGGATTTGAATCCCAGCTCTGCCACTGACCAGCTGGTGTGACCTTGGGCTTGTCCCTTCCCCTCTCTGAGCGTCAGTCCCCTCATATGTATGTTTGTTTGTTTTTTTTTAAAGATTTTATTTATTTATTTGACAGAGAGAAAGAGATCACAAGTAGGCAGAGAGGCTGGTAGAGGAAGAGGGGGAAGCAGGCTCTCTGCTGAGCAGAGAGCCTGATGTGGGACTCGATCCCAGGACCCTGGAATCATGACCTGAGCTGAAGGCAGATGCTTAACTGACTGAGCCCCCCAGGCATCCCCAGGTTTTATTATCCATGTAGGTTTTATTACCATATAAGTATGGTGGGGCCAACCCAGTAGGAGATGATCACCATCGAGAAGATCGGTTGTTATGGTTCCTAAGAAGAGGGGTAGCATGGCAGCCAGGGGGGCCCCCCGGGGAAGCACCAGGGTCAGTCAGCAGGCAAGAGGAGATGGCCGGCTCAGGGACGGGCTGTCCCTTTGGTCTCCGCAAGGCCCAGGACGTCTGAGCACCAGAACCACATGGCTCATCCGCCCGCAAGGCATTTCCCAGCCCATCCTGAGAGTCTCCTCTGGCTCAGCCGGACCCCAGAGGTTGACAGGCAAAAGTCGGGGGTCCCTTCTGCTGCCCTGAGCATCCTTCCTTCATCTCCAGGTGACATCGCCTACCTCTTCTTCACCAACCGCCACGAGGTGAGGAAGATGACCCTGGACCGCAGCGAATACACCAGCCTCATCCCGAACCTGAAGAACGTTGTGGCCCTGGACACAGAGGTGGCCAGCAACAGAATTTACTGGTCTGACCTGTCCCAGAGGAAGATCTACAGGTGAGCCTCGGAGCCGCCCCCAGCCCCAACCCCGGGTGAAATAGGGCCCTCGCACTGACGCTCTCCCCCCTCCCCGCCAGCACCCAGATCGACAGAGCCCCCAGCTTTTCCACCTATGACACCATCATCAGCGAGGGCGTCCAGGCCCCCGACGGGCTGGCTGTGGACTGGGTCCACAGCAACATATACTGGACAGACTCCATCCTGGGCACCGTCTCCGTGGCTGACACCAAGGGTGTGAAGAGAAAGACACTCTTCAAGGAGAAAGGCTCCAAGCCGCGCGCCATCGTGGTGGACCCCGCGCACGGGTGGGTATTGCTGCAGCTGTGGGGTACGGAGGGAACGGAGAGCAGAGGCGGGGTTCCAGAGCTGGCTAGGACCCCGCCTGGGGGAAGGCATGTGCCTGAGCCGGACTGGCCTCCCTGGGCGCGGGGCTGTCCCTAGCCACCAAGGCCCTTGCTGTGAGGAACGAGCAGGACCCAGAAGGGTGGACCTTACCCCCGTCGCCCTGTGGGAGCCAGAGCTTGGTTCCTCTTGATTGCTACTGAGATGGACGTGGACCCTGAAAAGTGCACTCAGGATAAGAACCCAAAATCAGAGAGGCGCCTGGCTGGCTCGGCCGGTTGTGTCTGATTCTTGATCTCCGCTCAGGTCCTGAGCTCAAGGTCACAGTACAGGCCCTGTGTTGAGCTCTGTGCTGGGTGTGGGGTCTACTGAAAAACAAACAAAACCAGAAATTAGAATATGGGTTTAAGGGACGCCTGGGGGGCTCAGTTGGTTAAGCAGCTGCCTTCGGCTCAGGTCATGATCCCAGCGTCCTGGGATCGAGTCCCACATCGGGCTCCTTGCTCATCAGGGAGCCTGCTTCTCCCTCTGCCTCTGCCTGCCATTCTGTCTGCCTGTGCTCACTCTCTCTCCCTCTCTCTCTCTGACAGATAAATAAATAAAATCTAAAAAAAAAAAAAAAAAAGAAAAGAATATGGGTTTAAATTGGTCGTGGAAATTAATACTTATTTAAATTCTGATTTAGTATTTTGTGGCAGAGTACCCTGTACCAGGAAAGGATTGGAGAAAGGTTAAAAAAAACTCAGATCCAAAGGTAGTTTCCGGGAGGACGCCCCAGGGAGGAAAGGTCGCCACCACCCCGCAGGGCCCCAGGAGAGTGTTTGCAGGGCCCGAGGTTGACTCAGCAGCTCCGGGGCCCACAGGGACCTGTGTCCCCTGACAGAAGGCATCTCCCTGCCCCATGTCCCAAACCTGTCACACCTATTTGCCCATGGAATTTCACAATTCTGGAGGGACGGTGACCACTTTGGGACGGCAGCCTGTCATGGTGGCAATCCTCAGAAGGAAAGGGAACTTTCTTTTTTTTTTAATATTTTATTTATTTGAGAGAGAAATTGAGAGCATGAGAGGAGGGGAAAGGCAGAGGCAGAGGGAGAAGCAGTCTCTCTGCTGTGTGATCCCTCGACCCAGGGCATGACCTGAACTGAAGACAGATGCTTAACCAACTGAGCTAACCAGGTGCCCTGAAAGGGAACTTTTGAGACGAGCATGACTCACCTGGGACAGGCCCCGCATTGAAGGCAGGCCTCGGTGACCACAAACGTTCTCATTTGGTAGAGGGTCACTCGGTTGAATGAATTTAGTCCACCAGCTGCTAGGAAAGAGAGAGGCTCCCGGAAGTAACCCCTTAGATACAAGTCATG